GCGCTTGGCACTCATTAGCTCTTTCACTCTTCACCAGACCCTTGGAGTTAGGTACCGTTTCCTCGGTACCTACATGGCACTCGTTCCCTTTTAAGATGGAGAAGCAGAGGTTTCGGGAGCCCCAGAGATTCCTCAAGATCCTACAACTCGGAAGTGCCAAAGCTGGGATTTGAACAGGGCTGTCTGACCAGGGCCTTTGCTATTGACTAGCTCGCAGGGGAAACAGGATGGCGAGCCTTGGGCTCCGCTAGTCCAGCTTTCCAGCTTGTTCACGGTAGCTTTCCGAAGTCCCTGGGATTTGGAATAACCATGGGAGAAATCGCTTCTTCCATGCCATGTGGGTGGCCTGGAGGATTCGAAGTGTTGACAATATAACAATCCATAAGATGCATATGTATTCTGGGAAACCTTATTTTTAACCCTGAAGTGGAGCGGGGGGGGCGGGGGGGGGGGAAGAAGTGTCACCCACAGGCTCTTGAAGGAAGACTTCAGCAGCCACTGCCAGCCAAGTAAATCCTAAATCAAACCAGGGACACCGTTCTTTAAACACGTTTGCTGAGGCTAAGGGGCAAATAGTTTATGCTGATTCTGGGTAACCATCCACAAATATACTGTGTCAAAGAGCCTTTTTTTCCTCCAAGTGTTCCATATCGTTTTTGGTATAAGCTGCCTCTATGCTTTAACTGTCGGTAAATATTTGTGCCATTAATGCATGCTGGTAAATGTCTCGAGAGGAAAGCCGGCTTCTAGTGCCAGTTGCCATTAGTAACACAAAAAGAAAAAGACTGTTTCTTTCATCTCAGTGCTTAAAAACCGTCAGCACTTAATACAGCTGGAATCTTCAGAAAGGATAATCTGCGAGAGCTGATGTTCCTCAGCTTTTAAGAGTTGGTCCTTTCCTCTGGTATAAAAAGCATTCACTTGAGAATTGTTTTTTTCCCCCTTGCCTACTTCCCAGTAATCTAGTTAATATTAATTATGAAAAGTGATTGTACAGAGAAGTTCTTCTTTAAAATGTCAGAAACGTTGTTAGAGGGAGCATCTTGCATTGTGGGACCTACAAGGCACTGGAGGGGAAGGAAACAGGAGACGCCCTTCTTGTCTAGAAATGATTGCCTTCGTGATTGGAGAGGACCGGGAATGAGGTGCGCCTGCTGACACCAGCTGGAGAAGCTAGGCACCTGCACCCATTCACGGCAAACTGTCCGGTGGTCTGCTCCTCCCTCACACTTCCCCGGCTTCCTCTAAAGTCGCCCTGGGCTTGAAGTTACTGTGAAGCCTGTGAAAGTTCCTGGGCAAGAGGCCCCTAGTTCTTGAATCCTTTGCCATTCAAACTGGAGGTAGGATGGCTAATTGAGTATTATGGATTGAATGACTGTGTTCCCCCCTAAATTCATATGTTCAGACTTAACCCCCAAAGTAATGGTGTTTGGAAGTGGGGCCTTCAGGAGATGATTAGGTCACGAGAGTGGAGCCCTCAGGAATAGGATTAGTGCCATTATGAGAGACCCCAGAGACCTCCCTCACCCCTTCTGTCATGTGGGAACACAGCAAAGAGGTGAAGTCTATGAACCAGAAAGAAGATTCTCACCAAACAGTGAATCTGCCGACACCTTGATCTTGGACTTCTCAGCCTCCAGAGCCGTGAGAAATAAATGTTTGTCGTTTCTGCCACCCGATCCATAGTAATTTGCTATATAGCAGCCCAAACTGATTAAGAAATGGGGTCTGCAAGTAGCCAATGCCTTGCTGGCCCTTTGGTGGTCTTTTCCAGATGCTTAATTCAGGCTTTGCTGCTATTCGTGCTGATGTGCAAGGGAGCCTCTGGTATCAGGATAAAGCATGTTGTCCTAGGACCACCTTGTATATCTGCAGCCATAACCCCATGTGCCTTTCCGATATAAATCTTTTGGCACAGATTGGCTTTATATACTTAAAACAAACTCGTTAGAAAATTGTAGCACTGTAAGTATTTATAGTGCTAGAGAAACCAAAAGCCAACTCATCATTTTTGTTGATCACATAGTTTCAGAGGACTATCCAGGCATGAACCTTGCAAGATGGAGTTTCCACAGCCACACCAGTTTCCACTGCAGTGGTGGCTGGGGCCCTCCCAATGTAGTGTGCTTGCGTTAATGATTTCTAAGTCAAAATGAATTATTTGCCATCAGATCCAAAACAAAGCCCTGAGGTCTATCAAAAGGGTGACCTATGGCCTGAGGGCTTACGGGCAGGGAGAGAGCAGAATTTTCTGGGTGTCCACAGGGCTCCAAGGATGGGTGGGAAGAGACAAACTCTGTGGCTTCGATGCACAACAGCTCCGACCGCCAACGGAAACATGCAAGGAATGGCTCCCTTAATCCTGCTCTGTTTACGAAGACATTTTAAAGGCTGCGGTCCACATTCGCAGACACTCTGAGAACATAAACAATCCTATGACATCACTCGGCTGAAGGCTCATTTAAAATAGACAAGGGTGTCGAAAGTCTACCGTGGAAATGAAGGGCGTCATGTCGTCTTACAAGAGGATTTGCTGAAGGAGAAGAGATGCTTGAAAACATATTTTCGGTGAAAGCTCCAAAACACTTATGCTCCTTCCCTAATCCTTTTAGGCATGTACTTGATCAGCTCCACGTTCCGTGCTGAGGGGAAGCAAAAATGTGTCAACAAGCGAGCCTTGCCCTCAGAACTGAGCTTCTCAAACTGTGATGTGTAGGTGGGTGCAGATGCTAGTTGAGCAGATCTGGGCGGGGCTGAGCTTCCAGGGGATGCTCATGTCACTGCACACACGTGCTGCTGAAGGTCCTAAAACACTCACAAGGCAAACAGGGTAAAAGAACCCTTTGATCGGCAAATCTCTGAAGAACTGACAAGCATCATTCCTTCAGAAATTAGGGATACCCGGGCTGCTGCTGTGTGTCTCCCCGCCTAATGACACAGGTGAATTGTTGCTTTCAACTGACCACCACAGCTTGCCACCTGGCCAGATGCCCGCAGGAAAAAAGCCAGACCGGTGAAAAGCTAGGCAGAAGGGCGTGCTCCTAGGACGTCAGGGGCCATCCTTGGTAGCCAGAGCGGCGGAATCAAAGATTTCAGGCGACACAATGCGAGACTGGACAAAAGAAAGGATTTGTCAACCAGTGTCTGCGCCCTATCAGTGGAAATCGTTTTCTTTCTCACAGTGAGGCCTTGGTGGTGGTTGTTTTTTTTGAGGTTGTAAGTCACAAGGAAACACAGAAGCCCAGCACTTCTTTTGAGGCCTATTTTGCGGCAATCTGTAAACATAATAGGCTTCGGATGGTTTATGGAAACCTGCTCAGAGTGCAAGCTCAGGGCAGAGCCTAAAGCTGACGCTTCAAGTAGGTTAGTGGCACCTTGAGAAAAGACAGAGAAACTCAGATTTGAGCCGATTAAGATAGCCCAGAATTGCACTGTCTTCCTCGTGACAACAGCGCCCTGCCTGCTTCCCTTGCAGGGGGAGCTTGGTCCTAAGTAAGAACGATAAGTAGGAATATATATTAACCATCATGACACTCTCCTTTTGCCGTCAGAATTTCAGGTAATGAAAGGATCGAAGTTTAAGACTAGAGTTGACTGAACACATACCCGTCCTGGAATAGGATGTGTAGTCTTGATAACTAAGTGTTTGCCCCGATGAAGTTGTCTAGGACAAAGGCTTTTTTTTTTTTTTTAATCCTCACCCAAGAATGTTTTTGTTTTTTTCTTTCAATTGATCTTGAGAGAGAGAAACATCCATTGGTTGCCTCTTGTACATACTCCAACCGGGGACTAAAACCTACAACCCAGGTATGTGACCTGATCAGAGATCGAACCCATGACCTTTCGTTGTATGGGATGACGCTCCAGCCAACCGAAGCACACTGGCCAGGGCCCAAGGCGCTTTCTTAATAGTGTTTTTATGTCTCTGATCTAAGGGGCATGAGGTAATACTCTATTTATAAACTGAGTATGTGTAACTGCTCAGTGTTTTTGAAAATTAACTTTTTTTAACACGAGATCAGTTCTCTCTCTATAATAAATGCTTCCGAAGGCCAATAACTAGAGTGCTATGATTTTTACTTCAGATGACAATGTATGTCGGCACATTTATTTCTATAAAAGGGAACAGGAGAGTCTTACTTTCCAAAGAACAGCCTGTGAATTCTGGGGAAAGCGGGCTGGTTTGTCTGTTGATTCTTGATTCATGATCCCTGCTTCAATTTTGAACATTTGGTATATTTTAGATGGCAGAAAACCAGGGACAAGTCTCATAAACTGACCCTACATCCACTTTATTATTGAAAGAAGATAGTTTTACACCATCTGACTTATTGCCAAATTAATAAATGGCAGCCCGTCACAAACAACTTCAGACGTTGATTAACCCTTTATGCGAGGCATTTCGGTGATTCCCAAGCGATTACTTAGTATTTTGTGAGTGTTCTAGCTTCAAAAGAAATGCGAGTTATATTTTGTGTGGAGGATGACTGAGGAGGGTCAATTCTTTTCCTGTTTTCTCATTTTCCCACGACCATAAGACACATCCAAAGGAACAGAAACTGAGGTTAGACATTAAGCACGATATTTTAACCAATAAATACGAGCATTAAACCCATCATTAGACCCAATAAAGTATCAAAAGTTCAAAAGAAACCACCACCTTGAAAACAAAGTGCAAAAAATCTTTGCCATGAATTGTCCCCCCCTTAACAAAAAATGTGCTCAGAATAAGGCTTGGAATCATCTGAAAAGTTTCAGGTATCTATTAGAGCTAAAACAGCATAGTTTGCACATAGCAGGCGATATATAGATTATCTGACAACTGAATGAATAAAAGACTGAATGGAGGAATTGCTGAACATCAGGAAATATAATTACTTTTATTCACATTATGGGCAGCTTACATCCACTCCTTGTTCCTCCCCCGCCCCATTCACTGTCCCTTCCTCTGCTGTATTACAGGGAAATACACTTCCCAGCCCCCTTGTCAACTGGCTTCCTCAATAAAGGATCCATTGCTTTCCAGCTACACGGCACCTGTGGGCAAAGCTACTTAGGGAAGTAGAGGTCCTTGGTGAGCATGGAGACCACACACGGGATCTGCTTCTTCTCGTGGAATTGCGGGTCGTTGGACCGAGACTCGAAGTTCCTGGCCACCTGGTAGTTCACCCTGGTGAGGATCTGCAAGAGGTCCAGGCTTTTCCCGTGCTCATTCAGGGTGGCGCAGAGGGCCTGCACAAACCAGGAGCCGCATCCTGGGCTCCTCCACGAGTAATAGCCTTCAACAGGACAGGAAGAAGAGCAAGTCAGCTGCCCTGGCCGCGGCCTCACTCACCCCTGACCGTGAGCTCTCGGTGTCTGGGGCCCTCCCACGTACCTTTCTGAAACGGTGTCACTCTACTCTGCACGTGAGTCCCTAATGAGAATCACGCCGGGGTGCTCAAAGGGCAAATGTCTTAAGGTTTAGAGAGCTGCGTGGAGATGCTCAACACAGGACTTGGTGGACCAGCAGGGATGCATGTCAGATTCCTAAGTGAGTGTGTGACCAGTTGAACACGGAGCCTGCCTAAGGAGAGGCTGGAGAATGGCCCCGTAACTGGAATGCCTCACCATTCTTTGGGGGGAAGTGCTACTTTCCAATCCAAGGAGGACCCCAGAGGATTTTGAGATGGGTTCTTGCTGCTGAGGGAGAACTAAAGGC